TGCACTACTTTCTTGGTCGCATTAACTACTTATTTTCTATTGAGCTTAAACAGAATGCAATTAGGTGTTGTTCGTTCTTTTTGATATATTGCAGACCGATACTATAGAAAGGAAATTTTTTTTTGAAAAAATTTCCTTCCAAAAATGGGAAAATACACTAAGAAATGTACGTTTCAGCTCAAATGGCTTCAACAATACAGTTGGGTAAAACAACCATCGATTTGTCGCAAATGGGAGAGAGTGCATTAACATCGCATGCGAGGGGTGCAAAGCACCTAAAAAATCTAGACATCAAGTCGTCATTGACGAAGTGTGGCCTTGCATTTGTCAGACAGGAAGGAACTATAAATGTCAAAACTGAAAATTGCAGTAGATCTGATTCAAATAATAACATTGTGCCAGCCCAATCCACAACGGAAACTGTGCATGACATGACAATACCACCCCACCCACTTCTAGTAATCAAGAAAATGTCCCCTGTGTGTCCAGTAATCAAGCAGGAATATCTCCGTTCATTTCAAAGGCTGAAACAAAAAAGGCTGAAGTTATGTGGACATTACACACAATTTGTAATCACCACTCATACAATTCTAGAATATAATTCAATTCAAATAAATTAAGGGCTTTGGTGAAAATTGTCTTGGTGATCTGCCATGGTCAAGCAGATGTCGAGAGAGGGTTCTCGATTAACAAGGAGATGACAGTAGAGAACTTAAAGCAACAGTCTCTTGTAGCTCAGAGGATAATCTGCGACCATGTAACACATGTTGGTGGTGTCCTGGAAGTGCCATTAACTCAGCAGCTAATGGCATCAGTCTCTGCTGCATCATCTCAATACAAGCTGTATTTAGATAAACAAAGAGAAGAGAAGATGGCAGCTGAGAGGCAATTGAAGAGGAAGTCTGACCTTGATGCTATTGAAGATCTCAAGAAAAAGAAGGCAAGACTTTAAACTTATATCACCATTCTAGAAGAAAAATCTGAAAAACTGTTAGAAAACTGGAAAAATAACATTTGTGACTGAATCAAACATTCTAAGAAAGGGCTTCAAAGAAAAGAAACTGGAAGTTGAGGAAATTGGACGAGAAATCCAAAAAAGAAAGGAAAAACTAGATAGAGTTATGTGAATTTACTCAATCTCCTCAGGGCTCTAGCAACTGGGCGATTTGGGCGACTTAGTCGCCTAAAGTTTCAAAATTTCGCCGAGTTTAAACATCAAAGCGAAAACGACTTCGCCGACCACATGTACATATAAATATCATACAGCGCATGTTAATTAAGTTAATCCTCGCCTCCAGGCATAAATCAAACTGAATCAGTGACGCACAGTTACTGCCGATAATTGACATCAATTAACACATTTTCAAAGTGACATGATATGCAGATGCATCGGACATTATAGCCATTTAATTCGCCGATGTAAACATCACATTTTTTAAGCATAATTTTACGACACCTGCCACTATTTTATCAGCGAGTGTGAAAAGATTACACCCGGAATTGCTCTTACCATATTTGACAGTAATTACACGCAACCTCACACAGACCGTGTAAATTTACTTGCATATAAATTAATACACACAGAAGCACAAGTAAATATTTTGATACCTGTTTGATAGTAAAAATGAAATTTGTTAAAGAACTTAAAAAACATTGACCCACATTAGACCAATTTTGGACAAGTCATAAACAGTAGTAAACTTTGTCTTCAAAAAGTTGAATAAACGTCGGTAAATTATGCAGTAAACTACAAATTTGAAAATTTTGTTTTACAATGCCTGTTGCAATAGTTGATGAATAACAATCTAAAAATAATCATTGGATATTTAATTTAATATAATCAAAATCAACAATAACTAGAATTGTAAGTGTTTCTGCAGGAAACAGACAAATTTTCATTTGTCACATATTTTCGCGATGCCGATTTTTACGATGAAAAAATAAAGTTACCAAAAGGAAAATTTGTTTTGTTAAAATGTGTCCAATAGCACTTAAAATGTAGTTTATTTATGAAAATTCCTTAAGGTATTGTTTACATTAATTTTGATTGAGAATTTTGCCAGTATGTGTTGTACAATGAATATTTTCTTAAGGGAGGGGGGTGTGTGGAGTTAATCAGGAAGAAATCATTATAATGGTCTGATGATAGAGGGTTTTAGAATTTATACTTCAAATATCACTATCAATAAATAGGTAAAACTCCTTTTTATAGATCAAATCAATGTGCTAAGCACTTTTTCACTTCTCCTTATGTCGTCAAACTTCTCCCTGATAGGAGCTGAGGGAGAAGTCACTTCTCCCTAAAATTTTAGTCTAGCTAGAGCCCTGCTCCTATATGTTACAGTTTTGGTGTTCATATATTCTACTGACTGTGCTGATTTTTATGCCCCCCTTCTAAGAAGAGGGGGTATATTGTTTTACTAATGTTGGTCTGTCTGTCTGTCCGTCTGTCCGTCGGTAGACCACATGGTTTCCGCTGATTATCTTGAAAAGTATTTATCACAAAATCTTCATATTTCACATAGTGATTGGTCATCACTAGTAGATGACCCCTATTGATTTTGGGGTCACTAGGTCAAAGGTCAAGGTCACATGGGCCTTAAATGTCAAAATGGTTTCCGCTGATTATCTTGAAAAGTATGTATCACAAAGTCTTCATATTTCACACAGTGATTGGTCATAACTATTAGATGACCCCTATTGATTTTGGGGTCACTAGGTCAAAGGTCAAGGTCACAGGGGCCTTAAATGTCAAAATGGTTTCCGCTGATTATCTTGAAAAGTATGTATCACAAAGTCTTCATATTTCACATAGTGATTGGTCATCACTAGTAGATGAGTAGATGACCCCTATTGATTTTGGGGTCACTAGGTCAAAGGTCAAGGTCACAGGGGCTTTAAATGTCAAAATGGTTTCCGCTGATTATCTTGAAAAGTATGTATCACAAAGTCTTCATATTTCACATAGTGATTGGTCATCACTAGTAGATGACCCCTATTGATTTAGGGGTCACTACGTTAAAGGTCAAGGTCACAGGGACCTTAAATGTCAAAATGGTTTCTGCTGATTATCTTGAAAAGTATGTATCACAAAGTCTTCATATTTCACACAGTGATTGGTCATAACTATTAGATGACCCTTTTTGATTTTGGGGTCACTAGGTCAAAGGTCAAGGTCACAGGGGCTTAAATGTCAAAATGGTTTCCGCTGATTATCTTGAAAAGTATGTATCACAAAGTCTTCATATTTCACATAGTGATTGGTCATCATTAGAAGATGACCCCTATTGATTTTGGGGTCACTAGGTCAAAGGTCAAGGTCACAGGGGCCTTAAATGTCAAAATGGTTTCCGCTGATTATCTTGAAAAGTATGTATCACAAAGTCTTCATATTTCACATAGTGATTGGTCATCACTAGTAGATGACCCCTATTGATTTTGGGGTCACTAGGTCAAAGGTCAAGGTCACAGGGACCTTAAAATGTCAAAATGGTATCCGCTGATTATCTTGAAAAGTATTCATCACAAAGTCTTCATATTTCACATAATGATTGGTCATAACTAGTAGATGACCCCTATCGATTTTGGGGTCACTAGGTCAAAGGCCAAGGTCACAGGGGCCTTAAATGTCAAAAGGGTTTCCGCTGATTATCTTGAAAAGTATTCATCACAAACTCTTCATATTTCACCTAGTTATTGGTTATAAGAAGTAGATGATCTCTATTGATTTAGAGGTCATTAGGTCAAAGGTCAATGTCACATGGGCCTTAAATGTCAAAATGGTTTCCGTTGATTTTTCCATAATTGAACACTTCCATGTACCCATTTTTGGCAAGTTTATGTAATAAAACTATCAATTATGTGAGTCAATGGCTAGAAAGGGGGGTATATGTGTCGTTCGACATTCTTGTCTAAATATAGTCACTGTTTTGCAATTCTAGTCATTTGAACCTTAAATTGAAATACACATGTTTTATTTACATGTTTTATATCACAGATATGGTTGTAAAAGTATAATTTTAAATACGATCAATTGCAATAAAAATGTATATCACAGATATGGTTGTAAAAGTATAATTTTAAATAAGATCAATCGGGGAAAAAATGCCTTGAAAATGACAATTTTACCTCGAAAAGTCCTTGAAAAGTCCTTGAATTTTGATTTGAGAATTCGGTATGAACCATGTTCTAGTAAGTTGTATAATATTATAAAAGAGTGTTTCTTAATGTTGAAGTTGTCATGGTGGCATCCAGCTGTCTCTTAATGACCAGCCTGAGCTCTGGTGGTATTTTTAACAGGGTTTATAAATTATAATAATTGAAGTATTTTTAAGTGGATCCAACTCTTTGGAGTTAAGAATCATTCTTAAGTTAATTATCTCAATTTGCTTATTTTTAATTCATTTACTTTCATTCTATGTGGACAAATTTAATTAATGAAGCTTAGAAATGATCCAATGATTTAAAATTGTGATAAAGCAAGGGAGTTTTAAAAAGAAACAATGGAAGTTTATTCATGTGATGACGGGGACCACAAACTCTGACACACTTATCATGCTTATGAATATATTTTCTTCCATTTTCAGAAACTTTTGGACGATTATCCAAAATGCTTTATTGTGAATGCAGACAATGTCGGCTCGAAACAGATGCAGCAAATCAGAGCTGCTCTCCGCGAACAAGCTAGTAAATATTTCTGTCTCTATCATCTAGTATTGTAATAGGTAACCTATCAGAATATGTGGCTTTGGAGCTAGACTTTCCTGTTACATTAATAGAGAGAGCGTTTAACTGTGAATTGGGTGACCGAAGTTATCAGAAAGTGTAGGCAACTACTACTGGTTAACTGCTTGTCAGCCTGTCATGGAATGATGAGGTGGCTGAACAGTGCTCTGGTAAATTCAGTGTGTCTGACTGCCATGATTGGGAGGGTAAACTCAGAGTGACAGTCATTGGAACTAAAAATTGTAGCATGTCATCTTTTATAGGAGATACAACTAATTTGTATAAGCCCAGCAATGTGTGAAAATGTCATTGATAAAAGCAAAATTGGTGTATTTGTGCTGATTGATAATGAAGTAATATTTGTTTTTAGTATTTATGTAATTCAACAATCGAGTTTTTTTGACTTCTACTTACTGAAAGGTGAATATATTTTTGTAATTTTGGAGACAGAAAAAACTTTTATATAGAATGGACGCATAGAAAGTACAGAGATCTGCCGAGGACGCGATTTTGCGCCATTGGCGCTAAAAAAATGAGAATGGCGCAGGAAAATCGGCAGCAAAGGGCCATGGGCGCATCTCAAATCTGTGCCAGACGTATAAGAAAACAAAACTGTCTGCTGGGTTATTTAGTCATCCAGTCAAAACTGGAACCAACAGCAACATGTTACCCATGCTCCTGTAATTACGCATATTCTTGAGTTTATCCATAATAAAGAATCCCCTATAGCTTTTGTCCATGTTATCTACTTACCGCATTTCTTCTCATAATCCCTTTCCCACACAGATACTCATTTCTACTACCGTAAATTTAATCCAATAAAACAAACAAACAAATTATACAACTACTTAGTATTTAAAATGATTATCGGTAACTGAAAAAAAAGTGTTGCTATTTTAAGAAATGCTGTAAGTTACAGTATAATCTGACAGGTGTTCAACTTGATCAACCCTAATTTAAGGTCACTCAAGTTCACGCAAGTTTTGGCTGATGAAGTGTAAAAAAAGATGTATATTTCGTAATCAGAATGTTTGACAGGGTGATTAACCAATCAGAGAAACATTGTGCATGACTTTTTTCATGACCAAAAGGTCTGTCGGCAAATGTATTTGATGTATGCTGTCTACACAGAGGCATACAAGGGGCAATAAAATTCGTCAATACACAGTGGTAAGGGACATTTGGTGCAATTAAATGGATAATGCACAATATAAGACATTACAAGTAAGAACCAGCAATTATGTGAATAAATTTGCATGTCAAATTTTTGAGCAGCCATTTAAAAAATATTTTTATTTTTGCCTGCAATTAATATAAGTTAGAAAGTTACCATGTAGGCATAATTTTTAATTATTGGTAAAGTACTGAATTATAAGTGAACCACTTGTCATAAAATATGATTTAAGTTTTATTACCGGGGAAATTCAATTATCTACAAACTTTTTAACAGTTATTTTGGTCAATGTTTACTTATTTTCCCCAAGGCCCATACTTTGGTAAAAATGGCCCATCATTTTCAGACCAAGTGGGCCCAGGGCCCAGTACTTTCAAATTCTTGGCAGATCTCTGAAGTAACAAATGAATGTTGAAATATAGACTCATGTAATTGCTTATAAAAATATATATTATTTTATTGTTGTTGTAGAAATACATTATCAGCTTAAAAATGCCTTAATGAAGGATCATGACTGAATGTTTTGTTTCTTGTAGTTGTGTTAATGGGAAAGAATACAATGATGAGGAAGGCTATAAGGGGACATCTAGAAAACAACCCAGCCCTTGAGAAGTAAGATGTACTTTTATGCTTGTACTATCGGGGATTTTTTTTGCTTATTTTATAGCCAATATTCGATCATATTCCCAATTGGAAGTAGTATGTTTTTTTCCCAATCCACAGTTCCCAATTGAAAGTTACAAAATAAAAATACTGAAAAATCTTTGAAAATAAGGGCTCTTTCACTGTATGTTGTTTAAATGTTTTTGAAGATGCCATCCTAAACAGTGATTCTTTGGCAATTGCATTCATTTAATCACTGCAAAATTTAAGTCATGCAGTTTTTCTAACAAAACGGCACTGAAATTCCCAAAATCATTGATATGGTCATGTTCCCAAAATCCTGGGGAAAAACCCTGACTGTACATAAATACAAAATATACAAATTTTTGGTTAATTTCGTGTATAATTGTCAGCAAACTGTGAGACAATCTAGTCTGGCCAGGCCCTGTATTTACACTGTTGGCACCTTAATGTTACAGTGTCTACTGATGTTAGTATTTTCTTACTGGAATCCCTTACAGTTTTAATGAACTGTTCCAAATTCAAAATATCTCAAATTTATTTAACAAATTGAGCAGGCTATAAGTTCAAAAGTATTATATATTACAATATTAAAATTTTCAGATTGCTGCCTCACATTGTTGGAAATGTAGGCCTGGTCTTCACAAAGGGAGATCTCATTGAGGTCCGATCAATGCTTCTAGCTAACAAGGTAAGATATTAAGTATAAAATGTTCTATATACTGCATGACTTTGTGTAGTCTATGCTTAATGTCCATCTGCCCTTTCAAGTACTAAAAGTACAGATCCCATCTATATGCTGTAGTTGCAGAGAAAACCATGAATAGGCAATCATGAAGGGAAAATGCTTATCAATTTTGCCAGATGTCAAGTAAAGTTATAAAATTTACTCGGGTAGCTTAATTGGAAGAGCATCAGATTCGTTGTCTAGAGGTTACTAGTGTGATACTCTGGGGTGGTGGCATGATTAACCGCATTAGTTTTCCTTGATAAATGATCTTGGACATGGAGTATAATGGCCATCTGCCGCTCACATCTAATACAAAACTCGTGTGTCATTTGCATCCTGTATGGTTTAATTTAAAAGAAAATATTTTATTATTATTCTGAATAGGGTTCATATCATTATTTATTTCTCATAGTAAATTTGATATTGAATGTTACATGTATGATTGTAACTCCCTACAGGTCAAAGCCCCTGCTCGTGCTGGAGCTATTGCCCCAGTTGATGTAGTAGTGCCAAAACAGGCGACAACCTTGGGACCCGAGAAGACCTCTTTTTTCCAGGCTCTGCAGATCACAACCAAGATTACGAAGGGATGTATTGAAATCTTGGTTAGTATATACTTTTGATTTTGAACCACCAAATACAGGTTTGAGTTCTTCTCAAAGTGAAAAGTTACAGAAATCTTTTCCTTTACTCGAGGACTTTGGTTAGGATTACATTCTTGATCTTTGGACTTCAGATCTTTCATGTATGGAAGTCTTCAAATAATATACTGAAAGAAGTTTGATTGATCTACGTAGTTATGGTGCTTTAAAAAGCCTGGACTATTTTAACTATTTTAAATTTTGATAAAATAGAAATGCATAGAGGTTCTTCTGAAGTCTTACTCCACCAGTAAGACTGGAAAGTCCCGTATGATCTTTAGTGTTAGTGCGATGTATATCCCAACCAAAAAAATAAAAGGAGGAGTGTCACCTGCATATCTGATTTTGTAATACTACAGCAATGATGATTATTAATTATAACCTGTTAGGACCAGTCTGGTATGAGAGCCAGCAATGGCAGAACCCACTCGTACTGTCTGGTTACTATGGTAATAAAATGCCTCACAGAGGCTGTCTGAGCTGTTCTATTATCTGATACATAGTAATCTTAATATTATCAAATTCAGCCTTCTGTCTATTGAAAAAGGCCAGAGTAGATATTAAACCTTTTCTCGTATGATTGATTTCAGATTTATTGTACAATGATAGTTAAATACAAAAGTACAGTATGACCAGTAATAAACCAGTCATCCCCATAAAGACAGTAGTACAAAACAGAACCTTTATTGCTTCATAGGTCACCAACTCAAAACGTTAACAAAAGTTAATTTTAGGGATGGCAACGAGTAACCGGTTAACCGAGTACTCGATCGAACGTCCGAATATCGGTTAAAAAAAATGATATTCGATTACTCGGAAAAAAATATTTAATTTCTACTTTTTTGCGATTTAGAAAGATTAGAAATTCGGAAATGTACACGTATCTGTACAAATACTTGTTAAATGCAATCAAAACATCCTTGCAGAGGTGTGAAAATGATATTGTAAGTTTAACGAGGCGATCAGCAGTTTGACACGCGTATGGGATTGAACACAGTCCTGTGTCGTTTACGTCATCCGGCCTCTTATGGTATTTAATCACCTTTAAATATTAGACAGTTTGTAGTCGACACTTGTTAATTATAAAAACGTAAATATATAATTATTATAATTTATAAATATTTTGTTGTAGCTTTGTATTTTGCTACGAGCAGCGGTGGAAAAATTGATATCTCGCGAGTCCGAAGGTCGAGTGAAATATCAATTTTCCAGCATTGCGAGTAGAAAAATGCATAGGCTCAGAAAGCTACTACAACATAATTTTCCTTTTATTATATACCTTTTCGTTTGAATTATAAATGATTTTCATAATACTACACTTCTATAAGAAATTTCAGAAAATGAAATGTACCTGTCAAGAAATAAATTTTTGACCGACGGATGAATACATAATGTTTGCAAAACCAGCCACGCCTTTTATAATTTTGGTTTCCGTTTCCAAATGCTACGTTTATACACAGCTAAGATCGGAACCAACGTCAAAAATAGTCCAGCACTTACATATATGGTACCGTATTTGCCACTAACATAATACGAAATTTTCTATCCGTTGAAGTGTATTTGCGCTTCAAGTTCATCCTGTAATTAAGGGAGAAAATTTGTATTCTTATGTTTATATTTATATATGTATTTCTTGCAGTCCTATCTATAGTTACAAATTCTATGAGTTAAAATAGAAAACGAAAGTAGCATGCAGACGGTGTTGATATTGTGTGATGATCATTGGAAATCATCCGAGTAACCGAGTACTCGATCGGAAAAATGACCGAGTACTCGAGTATTGATTTTGGTATTCGTTGCCATCCCTAGTTAATTTATATTTATATATGTGTCATTGTTGTTGTTTTTTTTTTTGCCAGAACGATGTGAACCTGATCAAGACTGGAGATAAAGTCGGACCTTCAGAGTCTACTCTGCTGAACATGTTGAACATCTCCCCATTCTCTTATGGTCTTGTCATCCAAAGAGGTTTGTCTCTGCTTCATTTTACTTGTACTTGTGAAAAACTTTACTTTACTGGTTTGTGAAAAAACTATACTTTACCAGGAAGTATAGCCATCAAATTGTCATGTTGCTGATGTTTATTCAACCACCAAATGACAGACCCAACCAATTTTGGAGAATTATTTATGAAAATTTTTATACTTATTTACAAAGAATAAATAGAAATGAGTTTGTATTATATATTTTTAAAAAATCGGGAGCATAGGAAGAGAGAAAATCTGCTATGATGATTATTAATTATAACCTGTAAGGACCAGTCTGGTATGAGAGCCAGAAATGGCAGAACCCACTCGTACTGTCTGGTTACTATGGTAACAAAATGCCTCACAGAGGCTGTCTGAGCAGATTTTTGATGTTTGGCGAATGTTTTCTAATTCACAAAATTATTTCAATTTAAGAAAATTGATAAAAAAAAAATAATTTTAGACAAAAATACCTTGCTCTGTTTAATTAAAAATAGATGACATCTTAGCTGAATATGCTTTACTTTATGCATAGCTTTTTTCATCACTGTACATGCTTTTATGTTGTTTAATGTATTCCTTGTATTCTATAAAATATGATGATCCTTTTCAACCATATCTCCCTGCAAAAATTAATTTAAATGTCTTTTGTTCAAGTTTGAACAGATCATTTCTTAGACTTGTAATTTGGAATTTCAGTTAATCAGAATAATAAAATTCTTTGCCAACACAGTCCAGAATTTCTTTAGTGAACTTGCCCAGTTTCTATTTTTTAGCTTATCCATTTTAAGAAAAGAGAGCTATTTATCTTGCACATGTATGTGTCCTTACACTTCGGTTAAGTTTTTGCATGCACCATGGTATCTCTAAAACACACTTGTCTTATCACTGTCCAAGGCACATATCTCTAACATGCCATTTGGACAGAATTATGGCCCATTCTTGAAATTAGAAAATTTTACATTCTTTAGGCTCTGAAAGAAGAGCACTGAGAATAGTTAATAAGCTTTTTGGCCTGCCAACAGCTCTTGTTGGACTTTATATTATCATCAACTCTGGGGTCAGGGATATTGAGATAATGGTAAACCAACAGTGTAAAACCTTGTAAGATTGCACATTGGTGTATGCTGGCTGTGTGCTAGTCTGGTGGCAAAGTCTTATCACTTAGTTTTCTGGAGGTGATCGTTGAGGATAAAATAGAATTTTTACAAGCATACTGTGTTCTGTTCATTACAGTGTACGACTCTGGTAGTGTGTTTGAGCCAATGATCTTGGACATCACTGATAGTGATTTGATGCAGAAATTTATGATGGTAAGAATTTCTATTTGTTGCTCAGTAAAGGAAACTAGATTCAAAGTAGTTTTTGATCTTGAGAAACAACCTCTCCTCAGACATTTGTGATGAAACTATACAGCTATGATCAGTAGGTAGTCCCAGTGTCTATACTAGGATTAAAAAAAAAAACAGGGAGGATTTTTATCGAAAAAGTGAGAGTTTATTACATTTGTTGGAACTTTTTCCTTCTTTCTCTATGTAAAATTTTCCCCATGCCTCTGAAAAAAATAGGGGGAAAAGTCTCAAAAATTTGAACAGTAAATTTTTTACCTCCGAACAGTTCCTTGTTTGGGGCCATCCAGAGCATTTACTCGATTAAACTTTATTTAAAAAAATGGCAAATCGAGATATTTTTAGAAGTTTGACTTTTGGTTTGAATATATCACCTGTGTGTACTTCACATAAACAAATTCAAAAAACAGTATGACTGCAACAACAAAGTGATGGTTCTGATTAATCATATGAAAATGAGGACAAAAACATAAAAAATATTATTGAAGATGAAGTTTTGATTAATATCAAACTAAATTAATGGAAATAAACTTATAATGACAGTTTTTGATAATTTCAGTATCACAAGCATTGTAATAAATGTAGAAATCAAATTCATTTTTTTCTTCGTTTCAAGTAATAATTTAAGTCTTGTAACTCGGACTTTTCGGCTAAATTTTGGGACTCAAAAGATTTATAGCCCAGTGAGTCCTAGGACCCACACTGATGAATTTGTAAATTTGTTTAAAAAAATCACTTGATAGACCCAGAGTATTTTATAGACATTGCTGATACGATGCTGTTAAACTCCCAATGTTCCAAATGCAGAACTCTGCAAATCCATAACACATATTTAAGCATGTTCAGGATTTTGATACAACAAAATGTTTTATAATGTAGAGAGTAAAACTTGAGAGTTACTGTATTTCAGGGCGTAAGGAACGTGGCTGCAGTATCTCTGGGGATAGGTTACCCAACAGCTGCCTCAGCACCCCACTCCATTGCTAATGGATTCAAGAAACTGTTGGCCATTGCCGTGGAGACAGATATCACCTTTGCTGAAGCTGAGAGAGTAAGTATTAACGTAATGAATAAATCCATCACAATACTCTTCCTATGCCCCAGGTTCCTGGTGAAATCCCCGGCTTCTCAAAATTTATGGCCACTACTTTTGCCAAAGAATATTAATGAAATATCTTCAAAGATTTCTTAGGAATACTTAACAGCTTGTTAGTGGGAAGTTGGTCACTAGCAAACAAATTTTAAGTACCGGTTTGTTATCGAGGAAAAATGTTAAGATGGACAATCTGCAAAGATAAACCAAAAATGTGTTGAAGTCTGGCTAAATAATCAAATCTGCCTTTGACCATAACCTTTGTTGGGGTTCTGGTCCGAATACAGATGCTGAAAATAGGTTTCCTCTTATTTCCTTATTGTAAGGCCATATTTAAATTTTATCAAAATGGCCAATAGAAGCATCTATATGTGGTACGGATATTCTTGTTCTTTCTATCAAAGAGAAACTGGCTGCAAGGCAGAATGGTTAACATGTCAGAATAGTTAATCGGAGAATTTCTTGTTGTGAAGATTCAAACCCCTTCTAGGCCAAGCATGTATTTCGATGATTGTTCATTTATAGCAAGAAACTTTAACACCTAGCTTAATATTGGTTGATTGCAGGTACAGAATTAATAATATGTCTAAAACCTGATAATTAGCCTCGTATACACATTTAACACCTTTCTTTCCTGTTTTGTTGCCAAATGACCTATTCTGACTGTGGTGTAGCGCCTTGAAACCCAACAAACAAACAGTATACACATAAGGACTTGCTCTGCAACTAAAAGGGTTTTATAACATAGAAATGAGGACATATCATTATAATGATGGGTAAACAAAATTTTGAACAGTGGTGTTGTAGGTAAAATGTTATGCAATGATGATTATTAATTAACACCTGTTAGGACCAGTCTGGTAAGAGAGCCAGCAATGGCAGAACCCACTCGTACTGTCTGGTTACTATGGTAACAAAATGCCTCACAGAGGCTGTCTGAGCATACTTTCATTGTAAACTTGGTAGACTGTCTCTATTATAATTATATTTATAAGAATTTTTATAGAAAGATTGACTTTACTGGAATAGATAAAAATAATTAAATTTTGTGGCTTAATTTGTTCTACTGAAAAAAGGTTATTGGAAATATTCAACAGGAAATTACATAATTTTTTTTTAATCAAATCACCTTAATTGTAGCAACTATGAAATTGAAATATTTTTATTAAGGATTGGGAAATTGAGATGTTAAAGCAGAACATGGTAACTATGGAGATGTCACATGACACAATAAACTCTCCTGCATTACTGCTGATCACATTTTGAAAATGAATAAGATTAAGAGTTTCATTTGAGAAATAAATTACATTTTCAGCTAGACTACCATTAATGATATATATCATCTGAAATTGATATTGATTGAATGAACTGAGTTCTCTTTTTGAAGATAAGATTTTCTTAATCGTAATTTTTTTATTACATAAGATACATATAAGTGTTTAATGCTAAGATAGATTGCAGAATTAATGATGTCAAAGATAAAAACAGTTTACTGGACTGATGAGTTAAAGCCGATGATTTAAAGGAAATGGGCTTCGAATCATTTGAAATAGTGCAGTTTATTCATGCCTGGTAAAAAACAGAGCTACCACTTTCAGATGTGTACAATAAATTGCTCTATTTCTACTTCTGAACTAGTGCATCTTGCTGAATTTAAATGTCAACAAATGTGTAGTATAGTGCTTACTTATTTATTTTTTGTACACTATGTATCTTATTTTGAAATTGAAGAATGCTTAACCATATAGATTCAATTAAAGTTTCAGAGGATGTGAAGTTTATGAATTTGTATTTTCAATATTTGATTCAAAGTGAACAAAAAATCTATATCAAGAGACACTATACCTTTGTTTACACTAAAATTTGGTCGGAAGTAGCCATAGAGCGATTTATCATAGAACTCACAAAGAGGTAGCTTTGTTGTTTAACAGGTGTTTTATTAGTAAAAAAATAAGATCAAACACTAAAATGTGATAGTATTTCAAATTAATTTCATGAAACATTTTATGTGTCAATATTTTATTTCTCATTTGTGTACATTTCATTATATACATTTTAGGCATTTTTATGCTAAAAAATATTGCACCTATTTCAGACAAAGGAATATTTGGCTGACCCATCTAAGTTTGCCGTTGCTGCCCCAGTTGCAGCGTCATCAGCTCCTGCGGAGACGAAGAAAGAGGAGGCTAAGAAGGAAGAGTCGGAGGAGTCCGATGATGACATGGGCTTCGGTCTATTTGATTAAACCCATTGACAGTACAATGAAAATATATCCTATATCAACATCTCGGATCTTTTTAACAACTTACCTTATCACAATAGAAAAAAAAAAATGGGAAAAAATATTGTTTGAAAAGTTCGGTAATGCTTCACATGTAGGCTGGATATAATCTTGTCCTAAATAAAGAGAAAAAAACGTTTAAAAGTGTTCGTTTTTCTGAACTGATTGATTTGTTGTGAGCCTCTATGGTGTTGAACATGATTTGTTGAGCCTCTATGGTGTTGAACATACTTGCATTATTACACACCTTAAAAAAGGTTACATGTATATTGTTATATATATCTGGCAGTCCTGACTTTCCTGTCTATGTAGAATGTTTGCAATGTGTACAGTACTTTCTTTGATCACTTAAAATTTTCATAAAATTACCATTAATATGGAGGCATGCTGTTTTTTGGTCTTGTTTTGTGAAACTACAATTCCCAGAGCTTAGATATTTGGCGTTGACCTCCACAAAACTTAATAACCATGTCCCTCGAGTTAATAGTTACCTCGCCCCAAGGGTCACCTGAATTATATCGACTTTCATAAGAAATGGACGTTTTAGTCTTGTTGGCCCCATTTTTTTTACATTTTATTTCTTTTTTGTAGAATTGTCAAAGACCCGTTTGCGGTGTCATCTGAAAATTTGAATGTTGGTCATATTTTTTTAGCCACCAAAGGGTGGCGTTTTAAAAGTGCACCGTCTGTTCGTCCCCACTTCATTATCCCCCGCCGATGGAATCGGGAGGGGGATATAGTTTTGGCGTTGTCCATCCGTCCGTCCGAATTTCGTTTCCGGAGTAGTTCTCTGCAACTACTGGCTGGAATTTAACGAAACTTTATCAAATTATGGGAATCATCAATATCAAGAGGAGATGCGCATATCGTCGGCTTGTTCCGGTCCGACCCATTAACTCAGAGTTATGGCCCTTGATTAGTTATGCAGTATGCATATGGAGTAAAAATCGTTTCCGCGCTACTTCTCTGCAACTACTGGCTGGAATTCAACGATACTTTATGGGAACCTTCAATACCAAGAGGAGATGGGCATATCGTCGGCTTGTTCGGGTCAGACACTAAAACTCAGAGTTATGGCCCTTGATTAGTTATGAAATATGCATATGGAGTAAAAATCGTTTCCGGACTACTTCTCTGCAACTACTGGCTGGAATTCAACGAAACTTTATGGGAATCATCAATACCAAGAGGAGATGCGCATATCGTCGGCTTCCGGTCAGACACTTTAACTCAGAGTTATGGCCCTTGATTAGTTATGCAGTATCCATAAAGAAAAATATTTGTTTCCTGGCTTCTTTTCTGCTACTACTGGCTGGAATTCAATGAAACTTTATGGGATACTAAGAGGAGATGTGCATATAGTCGCCTTGTTCCAGTCAGATACTTATAACTCAGATTTATGGCCCTTGATTAGTTATGTAGTATGCATACATCTCATTGGCATTTCCAGATTTTACTATTTAACACAAAGTTATGGCTCTGTTATTGCCCTGAATATTTATCAAGTTCAAAGAATATTAGTGTTTAGGCCATGATTAATATATAAATAAAGCCTTATGTCTTCAGTTGTTGTGTTAATAATAACCAGTACTCGGCGGGGGATATAAATTCAACGAATTTGCTTGTTCTTGTCTGGACTGTAACTGTTTGAGGGATTTTGAAATAGCTTGGCACAAAAGTCTACCAAATTAAGGCGATGTGTCGCGTCTGAGAACTACGTCCATACCTCGAAGGTCAAGGTCAGAATAAAAATTGTGAAGTTTTTGAATTATCACAATTAGTGAATAGGAACACATTCGTGTCCGAACTGTAACTTTGTTGTGCATCGGAGGATTTTAGAATAACTGCATAAATGTCTACCACATCAAGACGATGTGTCGGGTTCAAGAACCACATCCTTACCTCAAAGGTCAAGGTCACACTATTTTGAAGGTCACTATCGTGTCCGGAATGTAACTGTCATGAATCGAAGGATTTTGATAAAAACAAGGCATAAATGTCTACCACTTCAAGATAATGTGTCGCGTCCATGACCCATGTCCCTACCTTCAAGGTCAAGGTCACAGTTTGAAAGTACTCGTTCTATGAAGAAGATTTTGAAGATACACATTTTTGTCAAGATTATGTGTCGCGGCTAAGGCTCATGTACGACTGTCTGTCCCTGCGTCCCCATTAACAAATTTGTGTCCAGACTAACTTGGTCATGCATAGAGGGATTTTGAAATAACTTTGCACAAATGTCTGTCACATGACACCAAGAACCACGTCCCTTTTTCAAAGGTCAAGGTCACATGTGTATTTTGAAGGTTCACGCTATCACAATTGGAGATTATAGGTACTCACATTCGTGTCCGGACTAATATCATCTATCGAAGGATTTTAAAATAGCTAGCCACATCGAGATGACGTCTTGTATGTAAGACTCATTTTCCTACCTCCACGATCAAGGTCACTAATAGTTTGAAGGTACTTGTGCTCACAAGAAGAGTTTGAAGGTACACATTAGTTTCCAAACTGTAACATTATCATGCATTGAAGCCAAGGATTTTATAATAACTTGGCTTAAATGTCTACCACATCAAGATGTCACACCTAAGACCCTTGTCTCAAGATGTTAAGTTTGCTATAAATAGCACTTCATTTCACAAGAACAATATTAGGCCATTAGTAACTTTCATTTGTCACTTGCTCTTGTTTTTATGCCCCCCCCCCCCCAAGGGTGGCATATTAAAATCGAACTGTCAGTCCGTCCGTCCGTCCCGTTTTATACATATAGACGGTGGGTCAGTCCGTCCGTCCGTCCCGCTTTGTGGTCGTGTCCGCTCTGAAACTTCAGTATGCATATAAGGATTTTAATTTTTCTTTCATGTATGAAATAGCCATGGATGTATGGTGTGTCGCGAACAAGACTCGGGGTTCCTACCACTAAGGTCAAGGTCACTGTGGGGGTTCAAACTTTGTCATTTTTTATATTATATAAATATAGGTGGTGGTGGTCGTGTCCGCCCTGAAACTTCAGTATGCATGAAAGGATTTTAATTTTTCTTTTACATATGAAATAACCATCGATATATGGTGTGTCGCGAGCAAGACCTGGGTTTCTACGAGTTAGGTCAAGGTCACTGTGGGGGTTCAAACTTTGTCAATTTTGATGTTAATATACATATAGGCAGAGATGGTCATGTCTGCTCTGAAACTAATATGCATGAAAGAATTATATTTTTGATTTCACATATGAAATTATCATAAATGTATGATGTGTTGCCCTTAAGACCGGTGTTCCTACGCTTTAGTTCTAGGTCACTGCTTGGGTTTGAACTTTTTCAATATTTATGTTATATAATATAAATGGTGGTTGTTGTGTCCGCTTTGTAACTTTCATATACATGAAAATTTCAATTTTTATTTAAAAATATAAAGTGACCATAGATGGACAATGTGTTGTGAATAAGACCCAGGTTACTTTGTCTAATTTTAAGGTCACTGCTGGGGTTCGAACTTTGTCAAATTTTACCACCACACTTAACATGTATTAGGTGGTTTATAACTAGAATCCTTCGGGGGCATTTGTCACTTTCTTTGACAGGTCTTGTTTATATTTATCATGGGTTGCCTCCATACTTTGACACAACAACCATTTTGACAAGACCTTCAAGTTAACCAGACTGAATTTGACCTCATAAATGAGAGTCCTTGAAGGTCAATTACTGAATTTTGCTATAACTTTATTTATGATTAAATTGTCTCTATACTTTAGCGCCATGTCCAACAATAGTTCTGAGGTGGGTGAAATAGGGCTATTATTAACCCAACTTCACCAGGGCAACTTGTTCTGTTGAAACTAATTTCCTTTTTAGCTCACCTCAGGACAACATGCCCATGGTGAGCTATAGTAATCGTGCGTCGTCAACATTTTCTTTAAACAACATCTCAAAAACCGATGACTGCACAGTAACCAAACTATACAGGAATGAATGATCCATGGGTGGTCCCCTGCCAAAGTTGTTCAAACGGTTCCGGTCTGTTGCATAAGTAGGTCACGGGGCTAGAAAAGGTGTTTAAAAAATGCAAACTTAAAAAATCTTCTTGCCTGAAAAGCACGGGCCTAGAGTTTTTGAATTTGGTAATGATTTCCCCATAGGTTTCAAAATTTTTCAAATTATCCCCTTGGGTAAAATTGGGCCCCTTTTTGGGGGGGGGGGGGGGGTCATAGGTTTTTATAGTTAAAAAAAATTCTTGTTTGAAGGTACAAGGCTTAAAGCTTAGATATTTGGTATATAATATCATCTATAGGTCCTCTACTTAAGTTGTTCAAATTATAGCCCTGGGGTCAAAATTGGCTCCGCCCCGGGGGTCATAGGTTTTCCTTATATGTATATAGTAAAAACTTAAAAAAAAACCTTCTCCTCTGAATTGACAAAGGCTAGAGGTTCGATATTTGGCATGAAGCATTGTGTAGTGGAACTCGACCAAGATTGTTCATATTATTAACCCTAGGGTCAAAATTGGCCCCGCCCAGGGATCATAGATTTTCCTTGTATGTATATAGTAAAACCTTTCCCATCCAAAATCTTTAACCTTGATCATAACTTCAAAGTTCTTGGTGTATTGTCTTAAAACATCAACTTCTTACCTACACAAAAAATTAACCCTGTTTTGTATATTTGTAGACCTGGTAACTTCACTTTTGTATATCAATTGCATTTAGTACTCAGGTGAGCGCATTGGGGCCAATGGCCTGTTTGCTATCTTGTTCAGCAAATTTCGAAATTTGGACTTCTTAGGCTTATAATAATAAAAATAAATAAATATTTATTGCAAATTGCCCAAAATGAAACTTTCAGGGGCAGAAAACGAAGTAATCGCTACATTGACCGCCATGGAAGATTGGTGACAACATTATTGTGCGAGGATTGACGGAAAAGGTCGAAAAGATGCAATTGCATCAAATAAGTTCAAAGTTGCTGATTTGCTCTTTCATCTTTCGGTGGATTGTAAAGAAAAACAGTACATGTTCGATTATTTTGTGTTTCTATATCAATTCAGTGATCATAAGAGCTTAAAATGTTTTATATCTGTACATGTTTTATAAACATGATTCGTGATGTGTTTGTACTTTAGACTTGTGATTGACATATTTCCCAACAGACTTCTATCTCTCTTTAGAAAGTCTAATAAAGACACGTGCTTCACCGGTTCGTCTTAAAAACGAACAACTTGGCAAAAAAATCTTCCTGACACACAAAAATAAACTACAGGATCGTGCCGTTGTTCTCGCGAGATTTTCTGAAAATATGATAATCACTGCTCATAAAGCATTCTTTGTAAATAATTATCGTGTTTGTCTTGAAATCTTTCTTTAAATATACATGAAGAACATTGTTTGCTAAATGTAATTTAAATTTTCACTGGAAAAGCTATGATTTACTTCAGTTTATTAGAAAACCTTATCAGACAGTCATATATACTGTCTAAACTGGACTGCTTGCTATAGGTAAAATATTTGATTGCATCCCGATTAAAGTGACCTTTTTTATTTCCTGTTGGGAAAAACAATTCTGTGTTGTTCCAAACTAAGTATTTTCTGTAATTTTATCTTGGAAAAGTGCATTGTAAAGCTAGCCTTCTTCAAAACAGCGTCCCAAGAGCTATTTATTGTGAGGGGTTTCCTTATTGTTTATGTGTTAAAATCGTCGGCAAAATTAATATTCCACCTTAATTCTTTTTATTTGACAATTACATGAAACTATTTTTCTAACAAAAATTAACAATATGTTTATTTTCCACGGATAACTGTCTGTAAAATCCGGTTTGATTGCATGGCTAAAATGGCTTTCTCGGGAAAGCCGTTGTTAATTAACATATATGAGTTGTGTCATGACAAAACCAACATAATGGGTTTGCGACCAGCATGGATCCAGACCAGCCTGCGCATCCGCGCAGTCTGATCAGGATCCATGCTGTTCGCTTACCAACCCTTTTACAAGTACAGAAACTGATAGCAAATAGCATGGATTCTGATCAGACTGCGCAGATGCGCAGGCTGGTCTGGATCCATGCTGGTCGCAAACCCATTATGTTGGTTTTGTCATGACGCGGCTCATATATGGTTCGTCCGTAGGTATCCGATGATGTCCCTGTATGTATATAATTATAATAAAGTTTCAAACGAAAGGAAGGACGTTAAAATGTTAGTAAATATACATTATTTTCAAACACATGCATGATATATGTGTACACATGTAAGTATATATAATATGCAAAAGTCTACGGGCTCAGATCTTAGTTAAAATGACTTGTCATTTTCTTTTGATTATTATGACCCATCTGTTTCTAATTTATGGTATAAACGCATTTAATAATGGATCAAATAAAGAAACAAACAAACAGCAAACCTCGAGGAAGTCGATGAAGTTTGTATGAATACAGTATTTATTTTGATCTTGAGCATAAAATAACTTATATCATGTCCCAGATTCCGATGACCTTTCTTGGATTGTATATAATGAAATAGGAAACGGCGTGTACGCTCGATTGCTGTTGCTCCGTAAATTTACTTGATCATCGGAAATTACGAAATATGGTTGATACACACGAACTAAGACCCTGTTGACACGAATTACGGGGTCGACGACCCCTAAGGCAAATAAAAAAAAATGTATCTGTTATCATATTCTTAGAACAAGCAAAATTTGATCAATTTTATTATATCGTCTTTTTTTTACCTTTGCATACATCTTGAATACGTAAAGTAGTATTTAAATTACATGTATTGAATGTACAGAATTAAAGGATATGTAAAATGTTTATAGAAACTGATAATGACAGAGAAAAAACCAACATTTGTAATGATATTTTAATGTCTTTCAACACGGAATTCATGCGTTTTACGAAGCTGAGTAAAGACTTCCTTACATAACATTCTTGCATTAATAAATTACTTCTTCACAACATTCCCGCAATGTGTTTAAGTCAATTAGTATCTCTAAAACATGAAAAAATGTTGTTGTGTACTTATTACTAATTAGTTCATTAAATGTTTTTTTCTCTACCACCAATTATTGCTCCGTGTGTCATTTGTTGCTCTGTGTTATCGCCTGATATTGGAAGAATCGGCAAAACAAGTCTTCAGCAATTCGATAAACAACCTGGTTACCATAGCAACCATTTCTGTTGTCATAAGCGACCAGGTAAAGCAGCTGAAAATATGTCACACCGTTTTATGTTGTTAGACGCTAGAACGAGAGCTTGTATTGGTTAATGAACGAAAATTATCAGCTAAATATTCCTGATAGAATTTACAAATCATTTCATCTGATCTTGAAATGTTATAGATAAAAAAGGCAAAATAAATAAATATGGCTGTGTTTGAAAAGGATTGTCTGCTTGACGATGTTTTTGTTTTAATTAAATAAGGAGTTACCATTCTAATACCGGAAGTACCAGAAGCTGTAGGGCTTGAGTAATATCCTTCTCGGATGGCAGAACGGAACTAAGTTCAGAGATAAGGCGTTTGTTGACTTGCAGGTAGCTCACTTTTTGAATTTAATCGATGAAATGAATATTGTTATTTTTTTCTCTCAAGAACGCGTTTATAATTACATTTTGTGTTTAAACATGACCAGGTAGCTCGGTTAGTCTAGATAATTTGGTCCCTTGAATTACTTTAGATGATTATTTGATTTTCATATACATTTTGTACATGTATTTACATCAATATTATTGCTAAAAATTAATCAAACACACCAAATTACAAAATGTCTTTACTAATTTTGTTATTTGTTAATAGGTGAGTACAATAATTTCTTCTGTTGATTGCACTGTAAGAATTATTACAGACCTCTAGCGTTAAAATAATACTAGCCGTTGCTTTTACTTTTAATGAGTTTCATTTTAAATTTTGCCTCTGACAGTATTATTTATAATTCATCATAAAAAATCTGCTTAATATACAGCAATTCTAGAACCATATGTCTTATCTATTAAGACAGTGATCATCTAAGAGAGACATTTACGTTACTATACTGTTTAACTCTATTTGCTTTACGTATAGCAATACTTACTTAAATATCTTAATGCACACGAACGTGGCTAAATGGCTGTAGCTCTCTTGTGATGTCACGCAAAGATATATATGTGAAGAATTAGCTTCAGTAAATGCGAATAACGTTTCTTTTTCATGTATTTACGATCATATAAATATGTGTATCACTCATAAAAAAAATATAAATAAATGAATGAATGATCGAGTGAGTGAGTGAGTGAGTGAGTGAGTGAGTGAGTGAGTGAGTGAGTGAATATATGAATGAATTTATGAATCAATCAATCCATCTTACCATAAATCAATCATGAATGAATGAATGAAAGAAAAAAAGAAAGAAAGAAAGAAAGAAAGAAAGAAAGAAAGAAAGAAAGAAAGAAAGAAAGAAAGAAAGAAAGAAAGAATGAATGAATGAATGAATGAATGTCAAACAGAATTTCCCCAAATGTTAAAAATTTTATCTGTAATTCCAAATGTCAAAAGTTAAGGTTTTGAAAATAGCCAAATAAAACATTTAATGCGTCAGTTTAAACAAAATTTATACAAAGGCAGTGGTATATATAGGAGTGAGCTTATCGGTCAGTCTGTCGGTCGGTCACTCGGTAGGTTAGTTAATGATAACTACAATTAGAAATTAAATATTGTAATAAAACTTGGTATATAGCTAGCTAGCTTAAACGACGGTTTTTCATAATCATCTCAGAGTGAGTTCTACCACGTGACTACAAATGTTAACAAAAACAGAGGGTGTAATCTTTGTATGTTTTTATATTACACTCAGCGGAAAATAAAGTCATTTTCGGTAAAATTATGACCTGACAATCAGAATCAATTTAAGGATGTCCGTTGTCAATCATTTTAAACAAAATTCGAAATATCGTGAACAGATTTATACCTTGTGTGTCTAATAATACAATATTAATGGTATAAATAATGTTCTTTTTATACTTGTATAAAATATCTATGAACTTACTTTAATTGGACTTGTGCACGATTAAATAAAATACACAAACTCAACAAATCCCGATATTTACGTATTATTTGCTCAGTTTTTCTGCGCACAGTATCCGTTCTGTGTATTCTTTCTTTCTATCGAAGATTGGCGGAAATGGACGAAAGGTTGCGGATGATGTCTCGCTTTGGGTTTATTTGGTTAAAGTTAGGAATTATATATTGTAATTAAGTTTAGTATATATTTTCAAGCTTATGTGAAGATCTCGCTTGGGATTGCTTAAGAGTTCCTAATTATCAAGGTCAGGGTCACTGTAAGTAAAACTAGACATGGTGTCTAATCGATAACGATATAACTTGAATACAAGAAAAGCATTGATGCAAAGCATCAAAGGGCGTCCAAGCAAGAAATGCAGCAAGTGAAGATGAACTAGTACACATATGATGACAAGATATTCTTATAAACTACCAGAAATGTATACCACTTATGAATGAGCGGACGAAAGACATTGTTCATTATGAACTTTGATTGGCATGCTAGAGATTAGAATATTACTTGTTATTTCTTTATGATCGTGGTTATTAATAGCAACGGATATACATGTATGCAATCATTTATAATCCATATGTGTAACGCATGATCAACACGTACCACACATTTGTCCCTTATTATGTACATGTTATCGCTATTAGCGAAGACCCCCTTAAGGTATCTGTTCACACTTTAAGTTAGTAAAAATATGACACTGGTTATATTACCATGTTGATCATGTTGAGCATAATTGTTTATTATACAATAATTGTAATATCTATTAATTTTAATTTAAAAAAAATACAAATTTTATGAATATTGTTTTCTTTTATTCTTTTTTGTGTTTTATGTGCTATTTTAATACTGAGTTTTTACTACTCTTTTTTATTAAAATTGTAAAATAAATTTTAAGAATTCAATTGTCATATTGACCGACGATTATAAGTAAAAGCTTAACTAGAAAAAGTCAGTAAATTATGGTTTATCTTTCAATATATAATATTGTTTATTCTTAAACCATGTACATGTACATTGTATTTTTCTTTATCATTTTTTAAATTATCGATCAATTGAATAATTCATAAAATCTAATTTGTAACTTTGAATAATTCCTCGGCATCTTTACTAAACACGGATAACAAATTGAATAATTAAATAAAATGTTTCAAAGTTGATAATGTCATTTTAATACCATAAAAAATGTACCTTTTTTCAATTATTGTACATATCACGGATTTATATTACATATAAATCCGTGTACATATTTATTGTTTTTATCTCATATAGATAAAATGAAACATGCTATTGTTGTTTTTTTCCAATTGTAACGATATCAAACATCTACTCCAAAATCGGGAGAGACCGGACAATAAACGTGTGGTACTATTCGCCGGTCACTAGTAAATCCTGGTCAAAATAGACCGGGAGAGACCGGCATTTACCGATAGGAGTGATAAAAAGATATATCTATAAATAGGTTTTTGGAATATTTAGGTCATCAACTGATCATTCTAGGATACATGTACAACAATAACATACCATGACATGATAACCGACTGTGTACTACAAAATGATAAATAAAAAACCCCGAAGAGCGCGATTTATTGACGGAAAAGGTTATTTCATTTGTAAATGTTTGCATTGCGAAAATTCATTGTAACATATCGCGACATTTCATTCTTATTTAATAATCAAGCACCCTCATACCGATCGGAATTTTCGGCTTTTATTATGACCGACTAAAAGGCTCGAGAAGTTGCTGTCGCCCTTTCACAAAATCTGATCTCATTCCATAAGAGCGCCGAGCTTCGGCGCGGACGCCAATAAAACTTAGTTTAGTTATCTCCCTTATTGTATATCAAATATATTCACTACGTGTCTACTATTAAAGGCAAGTAATTCCCCGATGAGTTTTGCATAATTATACCCCTTTCCTAATTTGCTCCTGCACTGAGAAAAGTGGAACCCGCTATTCTCTGACGGATTTTCTTTAAACAGGTTTTTAATTTTGAAAATCCTGGAGATTAGATTTGCGAGGGTCGATACGGTACGTTTCTGGTTTGGGACCTTGTTTGGGATTGTTTTCAAGGTCACTGTTACTCAATATAGAAAAATGATTTCCGGTTTTTAAACCTGGTTTCATGACATTGCCATGTTTCTTGTTTAAATATTGCAAAGAAATAAAGTCTGAGGGAGCGATGTTAGGCAAACAAAATGGATGTTCATTTCAAAGTCTCGATTGTTAAAGGGATCGAGCAACGCAAATGACAAACTTCTGAACGGTCTTGTAGAACAACATGCCTTTGCTGTGTTTTCTGGACTGCTCACGCAGGGGATATGGTAAAAGTTTCCTTCCTTCCGTTCCATATTTTTTTTGTTTGGAGAGTAACTCTAAAAACAACAACAACAACAACAAACATTTGAGATATCAACTTGAAACTGAATGGATAGATAGATCTCATACTGTGAGAATTTTCAAAAGCAACAGAGATGCGGATGTTAAAAAATGAGCCGCGTCACGACAAAACCAACCTAATGGGTTTGCGACCAGCATGGGTCCAGACCAGCCTGCGCATCCGCGCAGTCTGATCAGGATCCATGCTGATCGCTATCAGTTTGTCTACTTGTAATAGAGTTTGTAAGCGAACAGCAAGTATCCTGATCAGACTGCGCGGATGCGCAGGCTGGTCTGGATCCATGCTGGTCGCAAACCCATTATGTTGATTTTGTCGTGACGCGGCTCATTAATGTATTTTAACTGACTTCTCTTGTAAAAATCCAGGAATGTGTTGAATAAGATAAGAGATAACCTCGTTCTATATGATACTGGTGTTTCAGAGGCTGTTGACATTATCTTGAAAAGTCACAAACAAAACAATTGAAAAAAAGTTCGATCGCTTCGAAGTTCGAACCAGACAACTCTTTTCTCAATTGTTTTCAATTTAAAGCGCTGGAAAACCACGTGAATATGAATGTTAATGAAGAAATGACCTTCATTATTTATGGCAGTTTTAAAGAAGACAATTGAAAAGCAGAACAATATTTTGTTCAGGAACATTTTATTCTGTTTAAGTACAATATCCATGTGTGTTGAATAATAGGGACATTGTATTCTATGATTGAAATCAACCCCTAAAATGGCTCAATAAAAGCATTATAAGAATATACATGTAAGAGATAAGTAGATCTGAACTTTAGTCTGATTGTTCTAAATTACAACTCTTTCGAGAATCGACCATAGAATTATGAAGACAACATAATTCTTCCGTTTGTAAATTTCATAAGAATAAATGTTTCATTAGATATAGCTTTATACATTTTTTTTTTTTAAAAAAAGAACAAAACTTCGGTAAAAATCTTAAAATGTCATTAATTCTTATGTTTTTTACTGGCAAGTAGAGTTCGGTTAGCTATATATTTCGAAAAAAAGAGACTATAATAATGGACATTGACCAGTGATTGATATTGATAAAGGTTCAGGACAAAATATGGAAACTTTCAAAT